TATTTAGAAACTACAGGTACCCTTCCCCCAGCTTTCCTTTTCAAAGCAAGAAGACTGTCAAGCAAGTACGAAAAGGGGGGCGAACAGAATAAATATTGTTACACATGTTGGGTGCATTTGCATGTGTACACATAAGTCATACTCGCACAGGTCAAGGAAGAAACTATACCGTACTTCACACTGATTTAAGAAAATATATTTAAGCATGAAGTTAAATATTCTCCTTTCCAACCTGCACAGTAAAGCCACAATGCAGTTCAGCTGATGGATATATTATTCCCATCTTTTTGGGGGACTACATCATATTACAATTTATGACCATGAATTTAAAAATGGTTTTCAATCTTATCCTTTCTCCATAGTCTATTGCACTCCTTCTCTATTGTCTCTCTTCCTCATGCTCCAATGCGTCTCTCCTTGATCCTTCTCTCCCCACAGCCTCCCTCCCCATGGGTGAAACCTTGTCACCATTTAAGTCAAAGACAAAACCCCTAGTGTCCAACTTTGAACCTTCCATCACTCTTTTCCTCCTGCTAGGTTCCCCATCCCTCTCTTCTTTCCCATAGGGAGAGGAAGGAACAACGAAAGTAGCTTCTGAAGGATTTAAGGTTTCAGAGAGCTGGCAGTGTCATCCACTTTCAAGAAAGCTTACAGTCAGACATTTATAGTCTTCAAACTACAAAGAATCTATACAATCTTTACAATCTATTTTATTCTGTGATCCAGAGGGAGGCTCAAATCAGGATGAGTCAGACAGTGACAGGAAAGGATTATAGCAAGAAAATATACTTGCTTCTAATCAGAAGGTAAAGTCTACATCTGAGAACTGCACCATCTGTCTTTGAACAGTCTAAAAATGAATTTAACAGACAGGAAGTATTCAAGTTGTTCCACAGAACAGATCTCTGTTCTTGAGGTCTGCTTCTATAGACAAGGACCCTGACCAGAGAAAAGCTGTTGCAATCTTTGACTTTAAAACTAATGAAAAGAGACTTTCTTCTTAAAAAGAGGTTTAGAGTATGTCCTATTAGATAATCAGCCCGGCTGCCCCTCCCTCTGCAAATGGTTGGGAAAGAACTTGGCATAAGACATGTTAATTGGCTCCATCCCTATTAAAAAAATAATTCAGCTCATCTCTAGCAATAGCAAAGTTCTTAAGACTGCCTGATAAGGTAAAGCTATCATTTTTGCCTTTGCTTGTATTTCAGCAGAGATGAGTTAACAGAAAAGAAAAATACGAGTGCAAACCATTAGCTTAACCTGTTCATCCAATGTTGTCTGTTGCTTTACTGACGTTCTACCTAACTCACTCATTTTATTTCTGAAGAGCTTCTCAGATATCTGAAGTGTATTCTAGAAGATAGTAAAACAATTCTGAGTAGCAAATCAAACTGGTTTTTCAATTAAAAGTGACATTTTGTTTCGTTATTTAAATTGTATTAAAAATATTCAAAAAGTTTTTTTAAAAAAAACCCATAAAAATGGAACTAAACGTTCAAATTTTATTCAACCCAAAATGAATTTTACACTTTTTGGTTCACTGAAATTTGTTCAGAATATCTGCATTTTGGACCGACTGCCACCCACAATGTTGTTTTAATTTTTATTTTTTTTGGCTGGCCAGCAAACCAAAAAAGTTCTTTGCAGAGCTCTATCATTTACACTTATATATTTTTTTCAAACTTCACATTTCCAGAACATTTTACGACAAGTTTTGATAAGTGATTTGTAGAATCTAATATATCAGTGCTTTATCTTCAAGGGCTGGCCCAGTTAGAATGTGCTATAAGAACATGTATCCCGGATGCAGGGCTCCTTCTCCATGGAAACATGGATCTTGGAAACAAATGTAGGTTTCGGTTGAACGCTTTTTTTACTCTGCTTCAGAATCACTTCCTTCAGGGTCGTCATGTCAATGGGGCAGGCAGCAAGGTCAATGCTCCCAGTGTGTCTGATCCATGTTGTGGGAGAAGGAACTGCAGCAGCCCTGGAGTGTTTTTATTTGTTGCACATGGACAGCGGGACAATAGGGATTCCACTTGACTCCTGACAGCATGGAAGGAATCACTGACACTCCAGACACATGATGAAGAGTGGACAGGTGGATGTCTGAGGCCCCTTCTAGGGTTTTGCTTTGGGTTTGTTTTTGGTGGTAGGAGGCACACAAAGAAGAGAAGGAGTGGTGAACAAGGAGAGGTAATGTACAGACAGTGAAGAAGAGTTAAACAATGAAGGGCAACAGAACTGATAGAAGAGACAATCAAGGAATAAAAGTACCAGAAGAGAAAAAACATGGACAAAAGCCCATCCTGCCAGGAGGGGTGGGGAGGGGTCTTAATCCGTCACAGACAATATGCACTGCCACCCACAGAGAGCAGACCAGACACTAGGAAGTGCAGAAGCATCAGGAACTAAGGCAGTGGTTATCACCAGTGGAGCTACTCTCCTCAATGACAGTTATCATTCAGCTTTTCATCTCCTGCTGCAGTCACAGATCATCTGAAGATAACCCCCTTGGGACCACCAAAACCATATGATGGCATAGTCATTCATTAGTGAAGTGCACTACGAGCAACTTATTTTTCTCTTCTACAAAGTCACATCCACCCATCACCCTCAGCGCAAACAATCATCTTCATCTTCTATCAGATACATACTGCATGTCAGCTTTACTTAAACATAATTCAACAAGATACATAGGCATATGCCTAACATTAAGGACAAGTAATCCCAGCATCCTAATGTATCAGGACCATAATCTTCTTTTCCCCATTATCTCTCATTTAATAAGGCATCAAAAATTAATTTATTGTAACCCCATGACACTAAAAGAAAAAGGGCCATGAATTTTAATTGTAATCTAATAAAATGCACTTCACAACAGTTGAACTTCTGCTTTATCATTAGCATTGTACAAACACTACCATGCACGCCAAAAATAGAATACTTCTTAGTCACACGGAATTGTTAACTGTGCAAGCTTGTGCAAGCTTCCATTTCACTCCTATCAAGCCCAGCTTTCCAAACCATCAGCAGCTGTGGACTCCAACCCTTCCTGCTTCATTGCTCTTCAGATCCCACCTTTAGCTTACAGTAAGGAAGGGAAGTAAGTAATCCCAGTGGGAAACACAAGACAAAGTGTAAAATTCTACCTACCCACTCACACAAGGTGAGCTGACAAGTAAAACATGAGGGACAGATTCTGTGATGCATCTTTCAAGGGACACAGCTCCAAAAATCACCACCATCTGATGTGGTCCAAAGGTAAATTACAGAAGAAAAGACATCAGAATGTCTGGCTTCTAAAGACACTTCTCCCTTTTTCCTAGTGTATCTGCATTTCCAGGCATCACTTGTCTCACAGAAGTACTTTAAATCTGGAATTTAATGAACACCACACAACTATCATTTCCTGAGTGACTAGTACTCCTCTACTGCTTTGTTTTTTATAAGGTCTGCCGTTAGGCCAGCTGCAGGCAGAAGCCTTTCCAAAGGCGAAAACACAATTTTCTTTTTGTCCCTTTAACAAGTGATGTAGGACACAGGACCTGCCACACTGGATCAGGTCAATGATCAGTCTAGTCCAATACTCAGTCTCTGACAGTGGCCAGTACCAATATACAGATGTACGGTTCAGCAACTCTTACAATGGAAAGTTACAGAATAACCTACCTATGGGGAAAGTTAGTGGTTAGCTTATGCCCTGAAGCATCAAGATTTAAAATCCTTTTAAATGTTACTGTGAATGTTCTTGTGGGTCACAGAAGTGTCTAATACTTTTTTGAACTCTGATAATATACAGATCTTAGCTGTTTATTAGAAAAAGGATCCAAAGAGGGCTGAAAGGAAACCACAAAGAGCCAAAGCAACAAATGTTTGTTGGCTGACAGAGAAAAAAAAAGGAGGGGTAGAAAATTTTAAGGAAAGTTTGATTGGAAGTAAGATGCAAACTGAGCACATGCTTTGGAACAAAATTGGGGGGGGGGGGGAGTGAAGACATGCTATATTTTAAATTTAGACTCAGAGGATAAAAACATAACAAGATTAGCCTATTTAAAACCTCAATACAAGCCTGGAATTTATCAAAACCTAGCAGCCGATGAATGGGGACAAACAAAAATGCCAAGAAAACAAACCAGACTAGAGAAAGAAGAAAACGAGATTACTTTCCTGTAAGTGAAGGTTCTTCCAGATGCGTGGTTCCTATCTGTATTCCACTGAGGGGTTATATGTGCAAGCATCATGCGCCTGGAGCCAGAGCTTTTGAAAGTAGTACTGTTTGGCAGTCCGCACATATGCCCTGTGCCACCTTGTGGTCTCACCCAAGGCGATAAAGGGCGCTGTGGGCTACTGGCATCTCCAGTTCCTTCTCTACCACAGGGCTGTTGACTCTGCAGCAGAGGGGAATTTCTGGAGGGTGGGATTGGAATGCATATTGGGACCACACATCTCAAAGAACTTTCAGTTACAGGTAAGTAACCTCATTTTCTTCTTTGAGCGATGGTCTCCACTGTATTCCACTGTGGGTGATTAACAAGCAGTACCTATGTGGAAGGATGTTGTGAGGAGATTGTGGAACAGAAGACTGCTGCTCCAAATGAAGGGTGCATCGCAGAATCATGCACTATATTGCACTTATATTCCAATTGATTTATTTTATAATTATATGGTTACAATGAGAAAGTAATCAATTTTTCAGTAATAGTTCGCTGTGACACTTTTGTATTTTTAGGTCTGATTTTGTAAGCAACTCATTTTCAAGTGAGGTGAAACTTGGGGTTCTCAACCTTTCCAGACTCCTGGAAGGGGTACAGTACTCTGGAAAGGTTGAGAACTACCGGTCTAGGGTATTGGCTATTCTCCACAGCAAATCCTCGAACTAGTCATCTGATGGGACGAGGGGATTGAAGAGGCAGCTGGATCTGGACAAGATGAGGGATGCTTCTCCTGATCCATTGGGCTAATCGCTGCGTCGTCCAGCACTACATTGGAATGCCTACCTGACGAGGGTTGTGATGGTGAAGTGGTGGAGTCCTCCCGAACTGAGCAGGTTTGTTTGGAGAATAAATATTGGGGCCACTCCAGTATGGCCAGCCCTGTTGACCCTGCTGTTGCACAGCCTGTGACAGCGGTGCCAGATACCAACTTTGCCAAAAAGGCAAGGTGGCAAACTGCCATTGTGCTGTTGGCACCTTCTGATAGTTGTGCCTCTGGAATGGGAGCAGTGGACCACATCGGACATCTGTATAGTCAGAATCACAGGAGTCAGAAACCTCACTAAATGGCGGTGCCATCAGAACTGCAGGAATGGGAGGTGGCAGGAACAGCTGGAGAAGGGTCCCTTTGACTTGGTGATCAGATTAGGGGTTGTGGAGACCATAGTCCCTAGAGTGAGAATAACTCATGGGGACCCAAGGCACTTCTGAGTGTCCGAGGGGTCAGTGGTATCCATTCTGCTGGAGGAGTTGGTATTGGGAACTGCATCTGTCTGGACACCAAAGGTTCCCAAGATGCTGGTGGAGTTGCCGGTCCATAATTGGTACTAACGGATCCAGCAATCGGTGCAGCCATTTCTTGGTCTTGTGAGACTTGAAATGTGTGGTTCCTTCATAGTCAGAAGTAGTAGAGAGTGCCGAGTAGTGTTTAGACTTGAAGGAAGACTTACTGCCATGCTTATGTGCATGCTTCCTTGGTTCATGGCTAGGCCCTAGCGCAGGGTCCTTAGCACTGGTACTGGCGGAGCCTGATGGAGGTTCTGCAGCAAGAGGACATTCTTTGCCTGTTCAGGCCAATGTACAGGGCGGGTTCCCTGGCCAGGATCTGATGCTGGACCCCTGACCGCCTCCATAAAATGTTTCCTGAGATGGAAAGTCTGGTTCTCCTGAGTACAGGCAGGAAAGGAGAGGCAGATACTGCACCTGGCCGCAATGTGTGCTTCCCCCAAGCAGTACAAACAGCGCTGATGCTCGTAACTGATGGAAAAAGTGAGGGCAGGAAGCACAGGTTTTGAACCCCAGCATCTTTGGCATAATCCATTACCCAGGTCTGGATACCACGTGGGGATGGGTGGGAAGTTTGGCAGGAAACACCGTCGAAGCAGCATCCCAAGTCCTAAATTAGGTAAGAAAGGAAGAATTGAACAAAAAGAAAATGCAGAACAAATAAAAAAATCTAAGCTACAAGGATAGTTTTGAAAAGTGCATCACCACGATGATAGGAATAGAAGCTCCGACTCGGGCCATGCGGCGGTGATAAGAAACTAGAGACTCCAGTGGTTTGCCGCACCCTATCTCACCTCAGGCAAGACCACGAGGCAGCGCAGGGCACACGTGCAGACCGCTGAACAGTACTACTTTCAAAAGCACTGGCTCCAGGTGCATGGCACATATGCCTCAGTGGAATACAATAGGGACCATCACTCGAAGACGAACAGAACTGCTTTGACAGAGGAGGGCACAGAAGCCACAGCAAACCCAATAATAATCAACAGGTTTAAGAGCCTCTTGCTTCACTGCACTCCTTGGAAAACAGTGCAACAAGTCAGGTTTATAGACATTACAATAGCAACAGTAACATTACACTTCAGAAGGCAGCTTCATTCTAAGCCTCTATTTTCAGGGGTTTATAAATATTCTAGACAATTTAATCCCCTCTCCCCTTGATCTGAAGTAGCCCAAATCTAATGATCTTCCAGACATACTGCCAGGCCTATCTATTTACTTGGAAAGGGAGAATTGTTGGGAGAAATTGTTTTGCTGGTGCAATAGCTGCTATTTTAATAGGACTGTTTTTTGAAGTTATGTCAAAGGGGCCTAGAGTATACATTAGTGCCTGAAATATGGACAAATAACGGAAATTTATCATTATTTAAGTAAAAAGAAGTTTACATTTTCCTCATATAGCTAGAGCTAATCAGATTCAGTGAAAGTAATTGCTGATTTAATTGAAGTCTGAATTTTTAATGAATTGATTGAACTACATGCACATTGTTTCCTGCACAACTTAGACTGGCTGCGGAAAATAACTTTGTTTTTTCATTTTGATTAATTTAAAGCTTCCTCTGGACCATATCTGAATCATGTGAATGGAAGGCAGAGTGACGGGGTTCTAGAAGATAATCTTACACAGTATCTATCTTTCCTCTTTTACTGTAGAATGTTTTAATATGCTGTGGCATTTTGCTAGATACTAAAATCAATGTATCTGATGCTTCCCTGTGCTGTAATTTTTTAAATTAATTTTTAGGAGTACTTGCTATGTTGTTTTAATATAAGACCCAGAGTTATTTGAGGATTATATGAGGTGATTTTCCCCCCAGAGTTATTGGGTTGTTTTTTTCTTGACATCTTCATTATTGGTTGCTAAACCAATAAGGTTATTTATTACTCTATCTGGAAATGATAACTATATTTTTAAAGTTCAAACAGTAGTGATATATGTTCCCCAAGAGGACTGCATGTGTCATGTCAAGTTTGAACAAAAAGGCTTGGGAAAAAAGTTAAACTGTTTGGAACAAAAGTTACACACTGATATTTTCAAAGTAATCACTAAAAACACACACAGCTGCACAGATCTAGAAAGAGTGGACCAAATTCTGCTCTCAGATAGGGAGTTTAAATCCTGATTTGCTCCACTGAAAGCAATACAGAAGAGCACAAATTGGCCTAGTAAGCACACAGGACAATAGACACCACCATGTTTAGGTTCAATAAATATTCATTCATTGAACGAGTTACATTTTCACAGTTTGTCTTCTCTAAAAAACTCCCAACTCCCTCCTCCCAGATAATTAAAATATAAAAAACCCGGTGATACTATACCATTATGAATGCAATTCAGATGATGAAATACCAGGGTTCTTAGAACCACTCTGACACTTTCTTCACAAATACCATGTCACTACGCTTAACATCATGTCCCCTAATGCAAAATCCTACCCACAGCGCATTATTGCTACCCACAGCGCAGTCTCGCTACCCATACACCACTATCCTAGATGTTCAAGTATCTGGACAATTTGCTTATTCCTAGGAGACATGGTGCTTGATGGCTATTCCACGTTTCTAGTTTATGTAGATTGCAGATATTAGAGGAAGGCAGAATGTGTAGATTGCAAAGATGCAATATTATTTTTTTAAAAATAAACAGAACGCAAACTGGTAACTGAAAGGCATGCAGATGACATGGCAATGAGCCTGGTATAAACACTTGACTAGGAAAAGTGGATCCGTTTAGTTTGGACTTAGCTAATGTGCTAGCTAAACCGGATATAAACTCAGCCTTTTTCCTAACTAGAGCATAGGCTAGAACTTGACCAGTTAAAGGAGTTACCCGGCATCTATGCTGGGGAAAAGTTGAGTGGAGATTAATCTTAAGTAGCACAAAAGCTAAGATCAACCTAACCGCAACCACTTCTCCAAGTCAAGACAATCCCCTGGATAGATCAGGTAAGTAATTAAAAGGACACCGAAAGGCTAGAGAATGGGTAAAATTTTTCCTGATATTACAAGGGACATTAAAATTTCCAGGCAGACACGGCAACTGGCAGAAGAAAAGCAGAATAGGAGCACTGAAACCCAAAAGCTTAACAAGACCTCCAAAGAGTTAAAGCAGTATCTGCTCACGTGCTTATGCAAATCAAAAGAAAAGGCGTTCCCTTATGTGGAATATTAATGAGAGTGCATATATATGCCTTTTTTGTGAAGTATGGCCATGGTACTAATTAATGGATGGCAAAAACACTTTTTTACAGCATGGCAGAGTTAAAAAAAACAAACCCAAACTCTTCGTTAATATGCTCGGATTGCCAAAAAAGTCTGTTTCTAGACAGCTCCTCTACCCATCCCGTTATCTCACCACGGAAGTAATGGTAACATCACTGATTGTTCTGCCCCCAAACACGATGTTCCGTATCCATCTTAAGAGATCCAGCACAGACAATTTCGGGCTTAAAGAGAAATTCTGGGGAAAACATTCCTATGTGACCTTTTGGACGCAGGACTGAATTTGAGAATAGGTGTCACATAGAGGTTTTAGAATGAATTTGGTTCTGACAGTGTCGCAAATGCTAAATGCATTCTTTCCAGGATAGTCTCTCTGAGCAAAAAGACAAGTCAAAGATGGAACTAACAAGAAATGGAGATAGAGAGCTTCAAGCAGAGAAGGTTGAAAGGCTAGGCGAAGCTCAGAACATCCAGCAGGCAGATGAAATGTGACTTCATGTCAATAACAGAGTGCCTGTCATAGACAATGATTTTCTTGCAGCAAATCACGAGGTCACTTGGCCTTGTAAAGTGAAAAAAAATACAAAAAAGGAAATACAAGTTGAGGATTTACCATAGTTGAAAATTATAGATATTGTTAGCGATCTGAGCAGCTCGCCAGTAGCTAAAAAGATGCGACACTTACTAAATAAAGTTGCTTAATATAAAATTATCACCTTTGCAAAAAGAGAACCACACACACAAATTTAAGACAGCAAAATCCATTACTGACTTCTAAAAAAAAAGAGAGAGAGAGCATGTGCACGCCATATATACTCTCTCACCTACATGTTTTTTAATCTGCTGCTTATTTGGGATCCAAATTACCAGGGCATGGAGCCTCTCCACTCATTCCCCACACACTGAAGGCACTGGAGAATTCATACGGTGCTCCCTGCTAGCACCTCTGCCCACACTAGCTACACAAAGAGGGTTGGGGGATGGAGTGAGGGCAAGGCCACAACCCTCCGACCCATACCCTGTCCAAAGGTGGAAGACCTCCCAATAAAGCAGGTGCACACCTGCGTTTGTGGGCGCCTAGAGTATTTTTTTTAATCTATGGGTTCTACTCGACATTATGAAACACAGAAGCACCTCCTGCTAATAGAGGGACTTTCCTTGCATGCTCCAAAACTTAGTAGGTTCTCCCTGTGTAGGGTCAAAACTCAACCTCTTTTGGGGGCGCTGACTTTATTAACCACAAAAACTGAACAATTAGACATCATGAAGTCAAATCAAAGCCTTCTTCCTCAAGCCTGACTACTACTGGGATTCGTAGTCAGCCCACACCTTAGGTCATTTCTGCATCTCACTCAATGTCCATGTTAGGATTACTTCACTCAGAAGCCTGTTCCGCCCTGCTAGCAGGCACTTCCTCCAGGCTTCATGTTGCTGGCAGGATTTGCAGGGCAAATTTCTTGATAAATACAGATTGTGAATATATACAATATAACCTCCGGGACTGGGGTGGGAGAGAACCCTTTAAGTGCCTAAGTATGTGTGTGTTAGTTCATGAAGCATTCTGCCATAGAAACATCCTGTAATGGAGTTGAAACCAATTGGGATTCAGAGTGCAATATGCCAGTACTTGGAGATGAGACCTTTATAGTATAGCAGGCACACTCTGCAAGACATTTATTGACTTGAA